CCCACCCGGCTTCTTCCTGGCGATGCAGCATCTGATTTTGCACCTACCATACGAGGCATGAATGGGGGGCCCATGCAGGCCTGTTGGTGCTATACAATTGAGAGATGTCTAAAGATTCTTCGGAAAAAGTGTAGAAATAAAGCCAAAATTGAGGCTTCTGTGGTAGAGGCATTCATTCTGGAGGATGTGTCAAACTTCACAACAGCATACTATAAGGATGGCCTTCCCAGCGTGCACAATCGTCCCCCTCGTTACAATGCGGACGAGAATTCATCGAACCTCAGTGTTTTCAAAGGGCAACTCGAAAAGGCAAGCGCATCGGGCACCAAGACCTTGCGGCATGATGAGTGGCGCACTATCATGTTGTATGTGTTGTTGAACCTTAACGAAGTGAAGCCTTATGTGCAGTAAGTTCTCAATGAGCTTGTTACATACGCCCTTGTCACTATCCTCCATCTATCAAACCCCCTTATCTCTTGTTTTTTAGGGAATTTCTGAATAAATACTGGAGAGGGAATAGGGCTCCTTCCTCTCAAGAAGAAGATAGTCTTCTCAAAGATGGTGTGCCCAATTTCATATCCTGGTTTGATACGAAGGTACCATCCAATTTACCTCGTTCAATCTTTGACATCCCACTTTGCTCCTACGAGCGAGTAATGTAACGATCTATCTAGCCTCACCTTGCAGGCCCGCAAGGATGCGGAAATGGATGCTGAGTTGAAAGGGCTCGCCAAAGGCTTCGCCTACAAGGTCAAGTCATTCACCGTTTATGATGTGAATGGCTATCGCTTTCACACAAGAAACTACGAGCGGAGTCGGCCCAATCAGAAAACTACGAATACCGGAGTTCGTACGCCCGGCACCGATGAGCGCGACTACTACGGCATAGTAGAAGAAATATACGAGCTCAATTTTGAGTGTCGCAAAGCTCCTAATCCAGTCGTATTCAAATGCCATTGGTTCAATCCTAATGTCATGAGAATAGCCCCTGAGATTGGACAAGTCGAAATTCGACAAGATTCTGTCTATCAAGGAGAGGATGTCTATATTGTGGCTCAACAGGCCACGCAAGTTTATTATCTCCCATGGGTGTGCCAAAAAGACCCCAATCTTATCAGTTGGTACCTTGTGCAGTTGGTATCACCGCACGATAAACTGCCAATCCCAAACGATGAGGATTACAACTTTGACCCAAACACACGGGAGTTCTATCAACCAGAGGGGCTAGAAGGGAGGTTTGACATAGACATATTTTTGCTGATGGGCATGGAAGTAGACAATGACATTGATCAGGACGATGGAGATGAGGACGACGGAGAAGAGGTGCAAAATGCTAAGGACTTACAAATGCTTGAGCGATTACAGTTAGGCGATGACAATGATGACAACGATGGAGATGAGCCCGATTTACTCGACAATATTGATAGTGATGATTTACACCTATGATCCAAATTACCGATCGTGAAGAATATTTCTAATTCATGTAATACTATATTATTATTATTATTATTATTATTATTATTATTATTATTATTATTATTATTATTACAATTATGTTTCGTTCATTTTGCATCTCTTTATAAGTACTTGTAATTTAACTGTGCTAATTGGTTTACTCTTTGAAATTGCAGGCACTCGACAAAATGCCGGGCGGAAGGCAGCCCGTCGGGGGGTCAACTCCCTCTACATGAGGGAGCGCTCACCACCCCACGCTGAGGACGACCCCTTGCTGGAGCCGCCGACGAGGAGGACGATGAGCGGCCGCCCCCGCGGCCGTCCGAGAACGAGGGTGCAGCCGGCTGCCACCCCATCGGTGGACGAGGACGACCAGGCGGTGGGCCTACACATAGGAGGGGGTGGCACTTCCTCTGACTTGTCGGACCACGGGGAGGCGACGATAGCAACAGCAGGGGGTTCCACTTGCACTACCTCTGGCTCTACCTCGTCGGGAGTCTACTTGTGCGGGCCCTCGTAGCTCCCGACGCGGCCGATCCCACTTCACTGGCGCTCGGTGATTCGACCCAGCGGCAACAAGTAAGTATTATTTCACTACTATTTCATATGACATGTTGAAAATCGAACTAGAGACTAACAATTATTCTTAATGACTCTTGCAGCAACTGGGAAGTTGTGTCCGGAACGGGCCGGCACATCAATGGCACCCTGGGCCTTTTGATTCGGCAGCACTACCCTGGCATGGTCACCTACGCCTCGGTGACTTCGCCGCCCTGGACGTGGGAACACTTCTACGTCGCCGAGGACAGTGAGTTCGGCACCATTGCGGCATGGATCAAGGCCGAGTTCTGGGTGAGTCTTCATCGCACTAAATTGGTCAATACTACGCATTCATTGGTCATTCTTGAAATAATGAAACGATACATGATGTCTCAGATGCAGACTTCTTCAAAAAGCGACGAAAGGGTTTGAGGACCGGGCGGCGCGAGTGTAGGACAAGGTCTATAGGTCCCGACTCTCGGACCTGTACCACGAGACGCGGCTCCAGTGCATCATCAACTACAACGCCGACGTCATTGGTCAGGTGGTGAGGAAGGCCAATGCCAGGACCAGGACGCTCACCAAGGAGTGGTACCACTCGGTAAGTACGAAACTTTAATACTGACTCCTTCCATGAAGAATAGGTAGGCTTCATTTCATCTTCTGACATATCAATAACTTGATGGCATGCAGCAATGTCCTGATTGGTGCGCCAGGCACCGCCTCTGCTTGGAGGCCATTGTGTACATGTGGCTCTCGGAGGAGTGGGCGGAGAAGCACAACATCTGTCGGGACTGCCGCCTGCAGATGGGTGGGGCGCCACACCACCAAGGCAACCGGAGCCTCAGCGCGTACGCCTAGACATGGGTAATCTTCTTTGTGTTTTTATCTTTATTTATTTATTCTAACGCTCAATTCTCATTACTTGTAATCATCTTTGTGTTTTCCTCGCAGTCCCAGGCGCACCAAGGCCAGGAATGCAATGAGTTCATGGCGTATGCCCTGGCACACAAGGGCAAGGCGACGGCCCCGGAAGTAACCTACAACCCGGCGGATGGGCCCGAGGCGTACACCAACGTGAGCGTCCACAGCAAGCTTAGCGAGTACACCTCGGCGGCCCACGAGCGCCATGGGGAGGACTTCGATCCAGCCACCCAGCCCCTAGACATAGACCTCCTGATGAGGCTGGGAGGAGGGAAGCAGCACGGCCGGTACTGGATGGCGGACAACACAGTCGACTCTGCCTCTGTTCCCATCCTCGCCGAGATTCGAGCAAGGAGCATGGGCTCCTCCCTCCCCATACGCTCTCGGCAGCAGAGCTCACAGCAGCAGATGGCGGAACTCCAAGTTAGTACTATTTTATTCGTCGTTCATTACTTTTACACATCTACCTTGCCTTTGCATTGTTTAAACATTGTGGGTGGAATGTTGCAGGCCGACTTGCGGAGGTTGGAGGCCCAGTAGGCAGCCCAGGCGGAGGCCCATCGGCTGGAGATGGAGGCTGTACAAGCCTAGAGGGCGGCCGATGCGCAGAGGCTGCATGACATGTTCAGCTTCATGGCGAGCCTTCAGGCCTTGCCAGGTGTGGTCGTGCCCCAGTCGCTGCTCGCTCCAGTTGTGGCTCCTCCTCCTCCTGTAGGGACTCCGGTGAGTATATATGGTTGTTTATTCCTTTAGCTTATGCGGCCCTCCTATAGATACTCATGAATTCACTTTTCCTTTGTGCAGCCACAATCGGCGGGTTCGAACCCGACTCCTCAAGGTGGCCCTTCTCCACAGGCCGGGTGGCCAACTGGCCCTCCTCAAGGTGGCAGTTCACACTCCGGGTGGAGAGGCAGTAGGTACCGTTTATTTGTTTCTTTTCATGTTGCATGGACTTGTGTTAGACTTAGCCGTATGTTGGACTACTACTAGAGACATATATATATTGTGATGGATATTATCACGGATGATGCGAATGTATGTGATGGATTATGGACAATGGATTTGTATGTGATGTATTATGGATGGTGGATGTGTATGTGATGGGTTATGGATGTGTATGTGATGGAATATGGATGTGTATGTGATATATCATGTGCTGTGTGTTGATATATATGTGATTTCTTTGTTTGTGCTGATGAAAAGCAAAAAACCAAAAAAATAGCATTTCCCCCTCTTTGCCGAGTGCCACACTCGGCAAAGAGGGCTTTGCCGAGTGCCATGACCATGGCACTCGGCAAAGTTGGGAAGCAGAGACCTAATTTCCCAGCTTTGCCGAGTGCCAGAGCCACGACACTCGGCAAAGATTTTTTTTTAAAAAAGAAAAAAATTTCTTTGCCGAGTGCAAGAGTATGGCACTCGGCAAAAGAATTTTCAAAACAAAAAATTCTTTGCTAAGTGCCGCTGAGGTGGCACTCGGCAAAGAGGTCGTCAGAGTAGACGTCGGATTTTTTTTTTGCCGAGTGCTGACGTGACACTCGGCAAATGCTTTATCGAGTGCCCGATATGTAGCACTCGGCAAAGAAACCTTTGCCGACGGGTTCTTTGCCGACTGCTCTTTGCCGAGTGCGGCACTCAGCAAAGCCTTTGCCGAGTGCAATAGAGGCTCTGCCGAGTGCCCGAAGCACTCGGCAAAGAGCCCGTCTGCAGTAGTGTGGTAATCTCCGATCCCCAAGCATCCTACACTAGCTATACTCGTAGGGTGTAAGTGCGCAGCCTTCGGAAAACGAGATGAAATCAAGCTCCGTCCAAACTCACATGGTCGACGACGACTCGTCTACCCAAGGCACCTGCCCGTTGGTCGACAAAACCCTGTGCTACGCCTGCGACATCATCAAGCTCCTGCCGACCGGCACTGTCATGGCCTTCCATGCGCGCTGGCGCCGTCCTTTAGCAACCACGGCATATGCGGCACTGCCAGCCGGTACCTTACCCTCACGCTCATCGGCGCTTGCGCTGCCTCCTGCTTGCTGCTCTCCTTCACCTACAACCTGGTGGGCCACAACGGCCGGCTCTAGTATGGCATGGCCACGCCGCGGGGCTTCTACCCGTTCAACTTCGACAGCACATGCGACGAGCGGAGGCACAGGTTCGCCAACATCCCCAGGATGAAGATCAAGGCGCTGGACTTCGTGCACGCGCTCGTCTCCGCGGTCCTGTTCGTCGTCGTGGCCCTCGGCAACGCCGGCATATAGAGCTGCCTGTTCCCGGACATCAGGCCGGACGCCAGGGAAGTGCTCATGAACCTTCCGATGGGACTAGGGTTCCTGTCCAGCATGGTGTTCATGATCTTCCCGACAACAAGGAAGAGCATCGGGTACACAGACTTGATGCCTCATCAACAAGAAGAAGATGGGAAACGAAGTAATAATAATCACTACCGGATTCAGCTTCTTTGCCGAGTGCCTCAGGCACTCGGCACAGGCCGATATACACTCGGCAAAGGCCTATATGCACTCGGCAAAGCCTTTGCCGGCAGACTCATCTGGCAGACTCATCACCCTTCTTCCAAGGGACATCTTTATGCTAGTGGCTATGGGCCTATTTGGTTTGCACCTTGGGAAACGCGCCAGGTCCAGGCATCAATGCGTTCAACAATCGGATACAGTTGCCTGCCGGCGCTCCCCAAGCGAGGGTGACATCCAAACATGCCCTATATATTACTTTACAAAGTGGATCAAAGTTATGCCTTTTAAAACATAACACATAAGGAAGTAGTTGAATTTATCACTGAGCATATATTCACAAATCTGTCATACTTCAAACTTTAACTACGGATCAAGGTTCTTCTTTTGTGTCAAAAGAGGTTTATGAATTTATTAATCTTATAAAATCAAATTCCTTGATTCATCAAAATTTATGCTCAGGCCAATTGTGTCAAGCCAAGTCTAGTAACAAGATCTTAATCAAACTTGTGAAAAAGAAGATGGAGGACAATCGAAAAAGGTGACACAAGGCTTTGTCTGATGCTTTATGGACTCATCGCATATCTAGACATGGTGTTACCAAAGTTACTCCCTTCAAGCTGGTTTATTGATATGAGGTGGTGTTGCTAGCTGAGGTAAAGTTAGATGCATATATATTGGCTAAATAGAATGACTTGTCTGATGTTATTTACCACGAGTTGATGATAGACAATGTCAACGAGGTGACCGACAAGAGGATGAAAGCTTTGAAGGACAAAACTTGTGTTTCCAAGACTTACAACAAGAAGGTGATAAATAAATCGTGTTCCTCAAAAAAAAAAAGTTAGCCAGGATTCCGCAGGACCACTATTTTTCGTCCTTGTCAACTTTATTTAAGCAATACAGCTACCTTGCACGAGTTCCCTGTCCAAGCACGGATGCGAAGCACCACAAGTTGTCACCATGTGATGTGATCAATATCATATCGAATCCCGTGTAAGTACGACGATGATGACTGAGAACTAACAATGCAATATAAGTGCCTGGAACCTGTGAAGTGTAAGATACATACACAGAGCTGGTAATCTCCGATCCCCAAGCATCCTACACTAGCTATAGTCGTAGGGTGTAAGTGTGCAACCTTCGGAAAATGAGATGAAATCAAGCTCCGTCCAAACTCACATGGTCAACGACGACTCGTCTACCCACGACATGAAGCTGCTGATGCCACCACTTCCACATGGCGCCAGCGGTAGCACCAAGGCACCTGCCGCGTTGGTCGACAAACCCCTGTGCTGTGCCTGCGACATCATCAAGCTCCTGCCGACCGGCACTGTCATGGCCTTCCATGCGCTCTGGCGCCGTCCTTCAACAACCACGGCGTATGCTGCACTGCCAGCCGGTACCTTACCCTCACGCTCATCGGCGCTAGCGCTGCCTCCTGCTTGCTGCTCTCCTTCACCGACAGCCTGGTGGGCCACGACGGCCGGCTCTACTATGGCATGGCCACGCCGCGGGGCTTCTAACTTTGTGTCAGAGCTCTTACACTCTGAGAATCCTTGAGCAAGCCGGAATGAGTGGATGTAATCCATGCCATGTGCCAATGGAGAACAGATTAAAGTTGAGCAAAAATGACAAGTCTCCACCTGTTGACAAGACCAAATACAGAAGTATCATTGGAAGCTTGAGGTACTTAGTCAATACCCGGCCTGACATTGCTTATGCAGTGGGTATTGTGAGTAGGTACATGGAGGAACCCAGAGGGAGTCATTGGGCAGTTGTTAAGCAGACACTGAGGTACTTGGCTGGTAGAGTACACTATGGAGTTGTGTACAAGAGGTTGGGCACTGCAGATTCGCTTGTTGGTTACAGTGATAGTGACTTGGCCGGTGATGTTGATGATAGGAAGAGTACCAGTGGCTCAGTATTTTTGTTGGGAACAAGTCTAGTGACATGGGTGTCTCAGAAGCAAAGGGTGGTAGCTCTATCATCCTGCGAGGCTGAATATATAGCCAGTGCAAATGCTGCCTGTCAAGGCATTTGGCTCAGCCGGCTTCTAGCTGAACTCCTTGATGTTCAGGTACCCAAGGTGAGGCTTCTGGTGGACAACAGATCGGCTATAGCTTTGAGCAAGAATCCAGTTCACCATGACAAGAGTAAACACATCGACACTAGGTATCACTTTGTCCGTGATTGTGTTGATAGAGGTGAAGTCGACATTGATCATGTGAGCACGACTGAACAGCTAGCAGATATTCTGACCAAGGCGCTTGGTCGTGCCAGGTTTGTTGAGCTTCGTCAGCAGCTAGGTGTAGTTGAAGTGCAAGAGGATTAGGGGGTGAAATGTTGAACTCAATCCTGTGCACAGTTATCAGCATGATGTAAATTAGTTAGTTGCATTTGGCACGTTTACATTCAGTTAAGCTAGCTGCATTTGTGTTAGCGGTGTAGGCGCCAGAACCGTGCTGCGTTCACGGTGCGGCGTAGAGTTATCCCCGCCGGGTGCGTAGGAAAACAAACCCGCGGTTTAGGCAGGCGTGGTGCAGCATGCGCATGCACGGCGGGGGGAGGTTGATCACAAGATCGTGTAACACCGTTTCTATAAATAGAGAAAGCAACAGAAAAGGCCGTGACCTCTGGCGGCGGAAAAACTCGTGTGTTCCTTTTTTGTTTGTTCGTGATAACAACCGGAGCGAGTTGAGAGTTCGTCGGCCGAGGCCAATCGCCGTCGGTGTTTGCCATTCCGTCAGCCGGCGCCAACATTCTACCCGTTCAACTTCGACGGCACATGCGACGAGCGGAGGCGCAGCTTCGCCAACATCCCCAGGATGAAGATCAAGGCGCTGGACTTCGTGCACGCGCTCGTCTCCGCGGTCCTGTTCGTCGTCGTGGCCCTCGGCAACTCCGGCATACAGAGCTGCCTGTTCCCGGACATCAGGCCGGACGCCAGGGAAGTGCTCATGAACCTTCCGGTGGGACTAGGGTTCCTGTCCAGCATGGTGTTCATGATCTTCCCGACAACAAGGAAGAGCATCGGGTACACAGACTTGATGCCTCATCAACAAGAAGAAGATGGGAAACGAAGCAATAATAATGCAGTATAAAGAAAAAGAAATATCCAGTTGATTATTATCAATTTACCAGTAGTAACCATGGTTTTCATCAATGCAACATATCCCTGTTTTCAAGACTCACATGTGTTGGAATAAGTGTAAACAAGTTTCATCCCCATAAAATTTTTTGTTATCTCTTTTCATTTAAACTATATCATATCAATTTATTTAATGACCATGAAATTCTCATTGAGACTGATCTTATTGCCAGATGCTTCAAAACCGGCAGTGAAACGATATTCACTGCCAGTTGTTTTGGAATCGATATGCCAGATTTTAACATAGCCCACCGGCAGTGATATTATCCTTACATCTGGAAAAAAAATCAATTTTAGCTAAACCACAGCCTTACATCAACTAGTATAGAATAGACCTTCGGTTTAACACATTAGTCTCGGCTAGAATTGGTCCTGGGACTAATGTGAGCATTTGTCCTGGTTCTAAGTTTCTTGGGTGTTAGAGGACCTTTAGTTCCGGTTGATAATACCAACCCAGACTAAAAGGTCTACATTAGTCTCAGTTGATGTTACCAACCCAGATTAAAGAAGCTTAACCTGTTCCGGTTGATAACACTAGCTCGGACTAATATAGACTCTTTAGTCCCGATTGGTGTTACCCTTTAGTCCCTGTTGAAGGCTTTCCTAATCGGGACTAGAGATCGATTTTCTACTAGTGATAGCCCGAAGTCTTCGGCCCCCTCCACTTCTCAACTCAATATGGACCTGGCCTACCTCTCTCATCGCCGCCGCCTCCCTCTCAGCCTCTCTCCTTCCCTTTCCCAGTGCAGTAGAAGAGCTCATTCGATGGCAGCAGCGTGCAGGACCCTTGACAGCTACACTTGTGTGGGGGTCAAGGCTTCAGCGCCCACAGGGCTGTTAAGTAATTAGACAATTTTTAGATTAAAACCAGAATATAAATCATGATAAATCTATGAACCAGATCAAGCATAACTTGTATACTAGCATGATCTAACAATATGAACAAAAGAACTAGCATAAACATATCTCGTACACTAGCCATCATATCAAACAACATAAACGAATCACGAGATATATACCTTTGAACTGGAGACGACGTCGCTGGTGATGGAGATGGTGGTAGCGTGAAGTCGTCGATGAGCGGTGGAGGAAGAGATCGGAGCAGTTGGCGACGTATACGCCGGTATGTAGCGAAGCCTGACTTGGATGAAAGACGACCCGTCGTGAAGGTTGGGAGCAGTCGCGCTAAGAGCACTTCCTAAAAACCTTATTCGTTCTCTCCCGGTGCAGGATTGCAAAGATGAGGATGCGACTCCCAAAAACCTTATTCGTCCTCTCCCGGTGCAGGATCGTAAGGACGAGGGTTCCGGAGACCTGCTCTCCCGATCGCCGGTGCACGCAGACGGTCGGAATGGAGAGACTACGGCGTCTGCGCAATAGTGAGACGAGAAAAATACACTAATTGACTACCTTAGGATTTTTCAACTGGAACTCTTAATAATAGTTTTTGGTGTGTCTTTTCCAAGGAAGATTGATTCATATGTAAAGGGAGGAAAACTCCATACCTCCACATCAATTAGCAATATTGTACTAATTGATATTGCATCTCCAACGTCTACTTATGAGTTTAAACATTAAAGCCCATTAGGGAACACAGGTATTGGGGCTTTGAGATTTATTAGAATTTCCTTATATGGATTTAGAGGAGCTATCCATATAAGTTCTAAGTGCAGTGGTGGCATGTGTGTGGCGCATGCAGCATTTCACGTGGAGTTCTTGAGAGCACATGAGAGACACAACAACGACCTCAACAACGACTTCATGGTGACGATGGCAGCCTGGCGATGACTTGTTTCTTCACAGCTTGTTCTTTGCGACGAACATGTAAGTGTCCATGGAAATTTCAGTTCTTTGTGTTCATCTGCAATCTTCTTCTATTCTTCATGCTCTTGATGTTCAATTTGGTGGTGACGGCAGCTTGTATGTTTCGGTGTGGATGTGTGCATAATGTGCCAATCTAATTATTATAGCGTGATTCATTCAACTATCATGGTCGAATGATTCAGACTGAATGCAATTTTTAGCGTATTTCAGTAAATTATTGATTCGAACCAATTTTAGTTGAATTTTTTGAGGTGCCCCCTATCATTTATTGTGGTGCATTTTTTTTTACGGTGGTTGAAAGGTACCGGTGAAACTTTCAGGTACTTCTTCCCTATTTTTTCTTCCCGTTGATCTGATAAGTTTAATAAAAAACAATTTATTATTCATTATTAATTAATTAAATTCAGTACGGTCTAACCTATTTTTGGTACTGGTTCCATCAGTTTAGTACTTTCTGATATCTTGGTTTTGTACCTCCTATTTTTTCACCATTGGACTTCTACTTATTGATGGCCTCTATTTTTTCTAACCACCATAAAATTTTTCTTTTTCCTCTCTTTTGTAATTCTTACCGCATCAGGGAAAAATCATGTGGGACCTAATTGACGCCCATCATACTCCTCGTTGAAGCTAACCTGTTGCTTGTGCTGTCAAATTCAAATTGACACAGAATCCAAAACGGGACAAACGGAACCCCTCAACCTACAGTCGTCATTGCCAATTATTAAACCGCAGAAGCAATTGAGAAAATGTCAAGGACTATTTATCGCCGTCACTGGGGTCATCGTCTCCGATGAATGACTTGGCGCCAATGAGTTTGTTGTTGCAACGGATCCCTTTGCCGCTGCAAGAGCCCCTCCACCGCACTGGCGGTGGGGCGAGGCTGTGGCCATCGAAACAAGGATGCTCCAAGTTGACCCCGCCGTCCACCACCCCGATGGTGGTACCTTTGTCGTAGTCGGAGTTGCTCTAGAAGCCAGCGCCCCTGGTCAGGCCTTGGAACCATGGCATGCGTGTCGTCTGCCTGTACAGTTTTCGCTCTGGGAACCAGTGCCCGAAGCCGGGCATCCTGGACTTGGCGTCCAGAACCCGGCCGCGAAGCCGTTGAAGATTGTTCGGTATGAGCAAACTAGCCTTGGCTCGTTGGAGTCGGTGACCTCGCTGGGAGGAAGGTTTGATACCAACTCTGGTGAGCATTGTCATCATTGAGGTGCGAGTACGTCCGTGAATTCAGGCGGAGTTTTTGCCATTAGGGGCATGTGCTCCCACCCCATACACCATTGGATATGTATACTATTGTCTCTCTTGCATTGCACATATCTTCGTACACATCCAAAGGTCTCTGGGTGGGAGCACATGCCCCTAAGGGCAGATTTAACTTTCCCAAGGATTCAACTGCTCGTGGGTGTGGCTGGCACTAAGAGCTTGGGTCATTCTGGCTGCATCCATCCAGATGTTGGTGATCCACCACCTGTCCTGCTACCAGTTGTTCACCAGTCCCACAACAGTTGTCATGCAACCAGTTGGCCACCAGAAACGTAAGCACAGCTGGGACATAAATTTCCCCTAATCAACATTATTAATTTGAAAATGAGAAATGTACAGATTTTTTATTACGATTCGTGGGAGAATATTAAGAGCATCAAATCTCTACCAAAAACTAGATGAACATTAAACTTGCACCAGTTAAAAGGCATGCTACTGAAGAGGAATTCCGTAGTATGTAGTATGACGGATGCCATTGCTATTATATGATGAAAAATGGCCTGAGAAAACAAATTGCATGATGTTGGTGGACACTACACATTCATGAATGTGGCTTCATGTGGATTATTTTGCTAGACTACATTCCTAAGAAAACTTTTTTTATGAACGTACGGAGGAGTCTCCTGGATACGCTTAAGAAGAAAGGTAAGGCACCACGCAGGAACCAGCGCTCGAAACTGCAGGCGGACAGCCTGAGCCCCTGCTCAGCTGACCAACCGAGCCCCCGCTCGGTTCTCTACATTCCTATGAAAACTATCAGGCCCATATGCTGTCTTTTGCCTAAATTATTGGTGCCCAATGTAAGGTGTCTATATAAGCAACACCCGTGCCTTTCAACACGGCATCTCACTCCTCAATTCCTTCCCCTGTCGTAGGTGGTAAACAAGGAAACAATTAGGTGCAGTCTCCCTGCACCGACTCCTCCATGTAGGCTCACAAGGATGGAAGCCACGCGTCCCAGAAAGTCCATCACGTGGCCAGGCAGTAGATTTTTCAGTTGCCAGGAGGTCCACTCAGTTGCCGTCGAAGTTTACAAGCCTGAGCCATCGGAGGAGCCGCACCAGCCTGCCCGTGTGATAGACTTTTGGGATACGTGGCTTCCATCCGAGCTGGGCCTGCATGGAGGCACCGGTGCTTCGGCACCCAATTTTTTCTGGTAAACAAATGGCAATGCCATCCTTCTGTTATAATTTATATGGATAAAATTCCCTAAATCCATATGAAGAAATTCTAATAAATCTCAAAGGCTCAATATTTGTGTTCCTTAATGAGCTTTATTGTTTAAGCCCATGAGTAGAGGTGGAAGGTGCAACATCAATTAATACCATATTGCTAGTTGATGTGGAGGTAGGGAGCTCTCCTCCCTATATATATGTACCAATCCTCCTAGGAAAAGACACAACAATAATAGAACTATCATTGGAAGTTCCTAGTTTGAAAAATCCTAAGATAGTCAATTAGTGTTTCCATTTCTCACTACTATGTTGCCTTATAAGTTTCCCCGTCCCGATCCTCTGCGCGCACGGAGAGTTGGGAGGGCAGGCCTTCGGAACCGCCGTCTGCATCTGTGACACCTGCTCGGGTGTGCGGGCGATCAGGTTTTTAGAGAGCGTCTTTGCGACTGTTCGCTTCTTCCTGGTGACTGCCAATGTCTTCTTCTTCTTCCTCGGATCGTCTACTTCCCGGAGGATGTTCGAGGGACTACACTGCGAACATCGTCCTGCATCAACTGTGGTCCATGACATCGAGCAATGCACTATGTCGACTAGTGTGTGTGGAGTCGCCGGTGCCTTTAGCATGGGTCCCTCTGCTGGGTATAATTCTATTCTTGAATTTGTTAAATTCAATACCTTTTCTACTGTG